CCAGGTGGGACTGAGGATCGGGTGATCATTTCTTCTTATATTCTCCTCCTAGACCAAACGGCCCCTTAACCCTTGCAGTGCAGGGGTAGCCCCACTGCAAGGGTTATTTATTTATTTTTTTAAATCCTGGAGTTCTCCTTTTAAAACTGATCCTTGTAGACTTCACGACCTGCCGCCAGACATCTCGCTGTAGTCTTGACTCTAGACCATTAGCAGCTTATTAATCTGCAACAGATTGCTTTAGGTGGAGATGATATAAATAGCCCTGACAGCGGAGGAAAAACCTTGGTTTAAGGAAAAAAAAAAATCAGACATTGAATGCGGAGCAGATAACAGCATGTGTGTAGGCGGGTTTTTATTTTTGTGTAGGAGAAGAAATGTCACTTGCAGACCTCCTGATCGGTTTCTGTATTATTGGTATTGCATGCCGTGCTAATCAATAATTGAACGTCCCTGATGGTGTTACGTCTTGAAGAGCCGCTCAGCCCAAATTAAGTTTTGACCTTCTCCACCTGGCGTTCACTGCTCTTCTGGAGCATGGCAAGGAGGCCTCTCCCCACCTGCAGCACTGCCATGACAGGCCTAATGAGCAGCCTCTTCAGCTCGGCTTTATATTATCATGGCAGGAGCTCTCTGCAGAAATATGAGGTACCTTTTGTACACCATACTGGAATTAACCCTTTGGTTAGAAGCAGGGGCGTAACTAGAAATCACATGGGCCCCATAGCAAAATTTTGTATGGGGCCCCCATGATTGCTAGTTATGCCAATTGCAGAGCCCACCATAGACTCTCTATGGTGGGCTCTGCAAGGTCTTAGTTGGGCTGCACGCCTCTTACCTGTCAGCGTTGTCCACCTCAGTGGTTGCCGCCAGGCCCCTGCCTCCTCTTCCGTCCCTGGGCTCTGCCTCTCCTTCTTTACTGCAAACGCCGGTGTAACTGGCCTATTCTGCCGCATCTGCTGGCTGTCACTGACACAGCTCCGCAGCGGCTGTGAAGGGGAAACATTCTCCTTCACAGCTGCTGCTGAGCTATGTCAGTGACAGCCAGCACCCAAGACGCCGTAGCGGCCCACCCGGCATCAAAGGCATGCCTGGCCGGGCCCCATAGCGGTCGCTATGGCGATTGTTGCGCCACTGGTTAGAAGGGTGCTGCACTCCCAGCTGGTCACGGTGTATAACATCAATAAGGTATGTCCTCCGCACACTGACTTGTGTCGGCTTGTGCAGAGCTCTTCATTGTTCCATGATCACATCGAAAAACAATGCTTCGGGACCCTTCATCAGGCATGTGATCTTCCAGACAGGATTGGATCTTCTGTCGTTTGCCAGCTGTCGTTGAACTCTTAACAGTAGACTTGGCCCAATATAGTGATGAACATCATAGGCAAGAGGATAACTCGAGTGTAGGGGTAGGAAACCTCGGCATGCCAGCTGTTGTGAAACTACAAGTCCCATGAGGCGTTGCAAGAATTTGCCTACCTGCTGTAGTAGAAACCACAAGTCTGAATGATAAGTAGATACAGCAGAGAAGGTTACATGCAAATCTACCATTTCTTATTTAAGTGGAGCTGTGCCCCAACTTACTGGACCTCCCTATTAGTCCTGTCATGTGATGGTGGCCTCACAGTCCAATAGGGAGGGGGGACGGGCAGGACCAAGCATAACTTTTTACAGGAAACTTCTAATTGCCCATTTAGAGGATATTGCTGGATCTATAGATTAGGGCTGCAACCAATTGATTATGAGAATAGTTGTCAACTATTCTCTTTATCGATTAGTTGGATCCCCCAGCTCTCTAATCCACACTGGGAGGAGGAGGTCACAGCAAGCAGTGGGCGGGTGCAATATCCAGGCTGCTATTGGTTATTGCAATTTAAAATGACCGATAGGCTGGCTATTGCACCCACCCCTTACCTGCTGTATTTACATTTAGCTGCTATCTGCGGAATCTTGCCCCTGGCAGTCGTTATTTCCTGGCTGAAGCTATTCAAGCGCCATGTGCTCACGATACGATTTTTTAAAAATTATTATTATAAAAGGTGGCAAAAAAAGTAATTTTCGGTTTGTGCCTGACAAATTCTGCTGTGGGAGGTGCGCTGTAGTGCTATTTATTTCAATGGCACCCCAAACTCTCCTCCCACCCACAGTATGATTGGCTACACAGGAACGCATGGTACCGCAATGCTGAGTGGTGCAGTGCAATTTGCAAAAAATTGTGCATGAAGTTTTATTCTAAAGTAAACATTGTTTGTAACACGGTATTTGTGTGTTTTATTTTAAATTAATTTTAAATTAATGATGGTATATTATATCATTTTAATTATCCGATTAATCGAAAAAATATTCGATTAGTTGCAGCCCTGCTATTGATCTGTTTTCATAGCATTTAGTTCACTCATAAACTGGTTCAGCATTGTCCGGATGAATGACGTATTCCACCTCCTCGCAAGCCTGATCCACAGCCACATTTTCTAAATACCAGCTGCCACATCCTGCTGGGACTTGTAGTCACTTAGCAGCAGGAATAGAGGTTGACACTTGACCACTGTGCAGCCTTTTGTTTTTAAAGTGCCGCTTTTCTTTCCCTATATGCGTTCTTTCCGACACCTATCGATACATTCAACATTCACCCGTGTTTTCACATTTTAAAACGTAAGGAAATATTAGCACTGTATATAATAAACATTGAAGCGTGTGACGTGTTTGTGGGGTCGCAGGGGCATTTTTGCTGAAAGCCACTTCGCGGAGCGGTTAATGATTCCTCGCCGCTCTGTGATGTTCTGCGCTCATTAGGTATCCAAACATCCAACCTGCAGCTTTCTCTGCCCTCAAAGCTTATCCGTCCAGTTGCCATGGCGACGAGCGTGCAGTCTCCTCGCTTGGCCGGTGACGGCGGCTGCTCCCAGTAGGATTGTGATTGGGGGGAGGATTATTAAATGTTTCTTGGCACAGCCCAGCAGCTGCCTATCCCTTCGCAGCCCTCATAAGTCTGAGCCCACATAGCTGTTGTTTGTGTCTTCATCCCGTGCGTCGTGATTCTCTGCACATCACATCATATTGTGCCACAGTCAGAGATCTGATTGTAAGCTTTTATCAGTCCTATTACACAAGCAAAAAATAAGAAATGACTGCTAGCTTCTACTTAAATTATTCATGGCTTCCCGAAATAAAGTCTGCCGCGGATAGGGAAAAGTGGAAGCAAGATGACACCGTTCTTATAAGACAGGATGGATCCATGGATTGGCGCTGCAATGCCAAATTTCGATCCTACCATCTATGAACACAACCCGGAGATTAATCCGAGCAGACAAGGGTTTTCCAATCTTCTCTCATCCATTTGGATGATCCCCGTGGCCACTGCAGCTTCACTTTTCCTGTCCTTGGCTAACAGGAGCAGAATGCGGCACGGTCTTCCCGTCCTAGATCACACTTTGCTGTAGACCAATCCCCATTGCACTTTCTCCCCCGCGATGGCCATGGTTTGTGTGTTCCGAGATGTCTTCTGTACGGCAGTGCTGTAAAGAGCAGTTATGTGAGCAGTTGTGGACTTTCCCGTCAGCTCGAATAAGTCTGACCATTCTGCTCTAACGGAATTATGCATCTTAATGTTTGGTGGAGCAACAACCCCTGAACCTCTGCACTGCTTCTGCTTGATTTTATGTATTGAGTTACAACCTCCTATATGCTTCACAACAAAGCAGACTCTGCCCATGTGTTATCTTACAAAGGTGCTGTGTGTGTGTGTGTGTGTGTGTGTGTGTGTGTGTTAGACAGTGCCGCTTATTTCAAATGCCAAAAAATGGCATCGATTTGCTTGTCAGGTCCCTTTTTAATACTTTCTCACCCCCTCAATGTCTATTGCCTATAGTACTTTCTTACCCCTCGATGGATGCTCCTCGTAGTACTTTCTCACCCCTCTTCGGGAAATATGAGGGGTCTAAACAGAACCCTGATGTTTTCCTTTTTAAAACTTCAACTCTTTTTCTGCAGCCCCTGTGTTATAAATAAATGGGAAGTACAAAGGCTTTCCCATTCATTCAGAAAATATTTACTATCAACCAGTTTCTGAATGGGGAGAAGCCTCTGTACTGAGTGCTACTACCCATTCAGAAACTCGTGAATGAACAGGAAGTGATGTAAAGCACTTCCTGTTCACTCCACTGTTTGTAAATAACTGTGGACACAGAGTTCTATGTGTCGTCCCCAGTTATGAATGATCAGCTGATCACTCCGGTGTTTGTTGTGCACAAAGAGGATCAGTACATATCACTGATATTTACCGATCCTCTGCTCTGCCATCCTGAGCCACACAGCCTGCAGCTTCTTCTCGGATCCCCGCTTGTATGGGCTGAGGCAGCGGGGATCCGAGGAGAAATGGAGCGCTGAAGCTGGCAGAGGAGGGAGCGCTGTCACTTCAGGATGGCCAAGCGGTGAGGAGAGAGAGAGCCGGCAGCTGTCAGATCCTAGCCGAGCGGCCCCCTCTCTCTCCTCACCGCTCAGCCATCCTAAAGTGATGGCTTCCCCCACCGGCTTCTGCGCTTCACTTCTCCTCTGATCCCCGATACCTCTGCCCATACAGGCTGGGGGAGCAGTAGGGATCCAGAGGAGAAGCTGCAGGCTGTGCCGCCCCTCTTCTCCCTGCCGCGCTGATCCCTGGCTGCCCCCCCGCGCCCGAGGTGAGTGACTCAGTTGGCTCGCCCTAGCTACGTACTCTGGTAGAGCTTTGTAGATCTCAGAACTGAAATACAAACTCTTTGTTGGGCAATACAGATCCCTTGTATGTATGTAATCTGTATATGTAGTTAGCTTTAAGCAAGTAGACCTTACAAGAATAGCTCGATGCCTCATACCTCTGAGATGTCTCCCGCCTCTAATGAACAGATACACAGAATCCTCCTCTCTGTTTAGCTTCCAGCGTGGCTGCCTCCATTGTATAGACAAGACATGTCAAGTGTTTTTAATTCCTTTTCCGCTTATCTTTCTTCTCTTCTGTCTTCCAGGTGCTGAGGATGTGGTCATGGCGTTCTCCAGATCAGAGGCAGAAGACCGAAGGCAGTAACAATGCAGCAGCCATATTCACTTCCTAGAGCACAGATGGGCAAACCAGAGACACCACTCAATCCTAGCGGGGAGGCCGCCATATATCTGGATTGCTCGTTGCCCTCCTCCCTTGTTTTTATGACCCCTTCAAGTTTCCGAAAATCTTTTTCATCGGACAGACTCTCATCTTCGACCTCTAGTGTCTGCCTCCACCAATTCCACGTCCGGAGAGGCCCGGACCCCTAGGCATCATGGGAAATGGAGCAGCTTGCCACCGCAAGAGCAAACTCATCTCAGCGGAGATGCCTTTATCTCCTTGATTTATTATTGCCTCCGTAACTTTTTATTTTTTGTTACTTTTGACGCTCCCTTTTCCTGGATAGCAACGTTTCCCTACACTCGCTACTAATACCGTTTTTTTTGTTTTTTAATGTGCCGTGAAACCGGCCGTGGGATGGCTGCTTGTGGCTTCTGTGCTCCCCATCGGATATTTTCAGAATGTTTTTTAGATTTGTTTTGTAATTGCATTTTTTTTTTTTTTTTTTTTTTTTTTTTT